TCCATTTCACGGCGATAGCAGCTCTTCTCACAACGCTATTAAATTCGTTATCAGTTATATTATTAAACTTCATCTCAAAGTCTGTTCCCAGATTTTTCAACATCCTTTCCATTCTGCTGCGAGTGGACTTGCTTCTTTGTTCGATGATATTGAAATTCAAGCAATGAATTTTAATATCATCGAACCTAGTTCCACCTTATGAACTGTTTGATGCTGCGTCGGTGGGGATAACGAAAAAAATTTAAATATATCAACAAAGTTGAAATGGTAAATTGGCCACCGACGAAGGGCTAACGCTCGAAACGTCAGCTTTTGTAATCGTTACGGTGGCCAATTCACCATTTCAACTTTGTTGATATATCCAAATTATCTAGTTCCACCTTAGTTTACGACCTTAGTTTAAGGTAAACAGTTAGTTTACCTATCACCGATAGGTAAACTAAAAAATAATGTTGTGAACGATAGAATTCTTTGTCAAGTGGGACAGAACAAATTGTTGAGAAAGAAATCCTTGGCGTTCAATTGTCAGTGAAACTCCATGTTCTTTGAAGGTGGTTGGAAAACGTGGCAGCCAATACGAGAAGTGTTAACATGAGGACATACCCCTTGAGAAGAGAAACGTTTTCCCCTTAACGAGCTTGGAATTGTTTCTCTTTACGATAACTGTTTCCGGTTTTAACTCGAGGTACACTTAGGAACGAGATTTGTGGGGACTTCGATGTACCAGTGAGTCACTCAGTCACTCACTCACTAGAGTGAAGACACTGGTCATAAGTCGTATCCAACATGGACGAGCACGACGCCATGTCGGAATACGGCAACCTCGCATTCATAGCGAGGCGTGTTACAGTTTATACTAAGTATCGTTGCTTTAAATGCCACTTTTGGAGTAAACATTATTTCGTATAGAGTTCTGGCACAAACCAAACATAGTGAATCGTTTGCGATCTGATGTCAAACAAGAGCCGTGGTAACAGATAAAGTTTATTGGCTGTTTGATTAAATTTAAACATCTTACGTATACATTGGCGGCTGAATCGATCGAAATAATCCTATTTTTTTTTCTGGCTGAAGAAAACTTGTGAAATTCACCGCTGCATATATCTGATTTTAATCAGTCAAATGAATAGCAGTCACATGAAACGTGTTTTGAGGTACATCGTTTCGATGCAGGAAACTAAGAGGTTTGTTGTCAGATGCAAGTGTGTGAAAACCTGGTAAACTAAGATCGTCGCATTACAATACAAATGTTATGGGGACTGTGAGGTGATACGTGCCATGGGAATGGGAAAAAAGTGGCAGGATATTATTTCATACTGTTTTTGTAGATTGTCTTAGGTATGCGTTAATGCAACTCTGTATGCAACTATTTAATAGTTGTAATTTTCCCCAGAGAGCCAAAGATCAGTTTCACTTTGAAAACAACTGTCCTTTAATATTGGCAACACTTTCCCTTTGATGAAAGAGTTACGATCGACATACAACCATGTGCGCTACAAGGAAGCCACCTGATTATTTTCATGGGATGAGTGATGATCTTCACCGCGTCCTTCGGTCATGCTATAACTTTTGCACCCTCCACATAGCAACATTTTCATTTTAGAAACCAAATTTGACCAACAGCTAAAATAATCATTTCGGAAATCCCTTATATCATCCAAAGAGTCAACAATACAGTTCAAAAGGCAAGAGGTAACACTGAACCCAACCATCCATGGTATAACAGCGATCAAGCTCGGGACAATCATAGCGTCTTCCGAGGCTTTTTCTTGATCCAGCTTTATTTGAGGTGCCACAAACGGAACATAGTCTCCAAAACCAATTGTTGTAAAGGTAGTGAACCAGGCGTATAAGCTAGTTATAAAACTCCATCCCTCCCGGTAAGTGGACGACGTGGCGAACGATATGTGAAGAGCAACCGCTAATGCACTAGCTGCGAGGAAAGTTTTCTTCTTGACATGCTTTGGTTCACCTCTTTTGAGCAAAACAGTTTCAGCTTTGATTATCAGGTACCGAAGTAGCGAAGAAATCAGTTCTCCTGCAGTTTTGAAGGCCAACATGCTAATAGGAATTCCAAAGAGACAGGTAACGATAGTAATTCCTTGGCCGAGACTTGTTTTGGGAGTTATATACCCATAACCTGTCAGGCAAACAAATATTTACATATCTATCTATTGAACAAAATAAACATTATTCATAAAGGGCTCAGACTCGAACTTTTGATAGAGCACTGGAGGTTTACGCTATCGATCCTTTCCACAAGAGGCCCTCGACACTCCGCCCTCCTATCCCGCCCACCGTTTAAGTGTTCTTGCAACCGGGGAAAATGATGTTCTGTTCGGTTCTTGATATCCTATTAGGTCAATTCCTCGCAAACTAAGCTACGAGAACTTTTAAGAGACTCCTGTTATCTTTTCCCTCCAAAGTTATCTTAATCACTATAGACCTATTGTTGTGATGGCTGCGAAAACAAAGTCGAAGCTATTCCGAAAATTCCAGTCCAGTTCCTTTCCTGTTGTCACGGTGACAGCAGCTCTTCTCACAAAGCTGTCAAATTCGTTGTCAGTAATATTAGACTTCATCTCAATATCGCTTCTTAAATCTCTCAACATCCTTTCCATTCTGTCGTGAGCTGACTCGCTTCTTTGCTCGATGATGGTAAAAATCCAAGCGAAAAAACTCGCATAAGCATATAATACCACAAAACGCAGCAATGTCCTTCCAATTAATGGACGCATTATCTATGAATAAATGGGACATGTTTAGACTAGAGATGGAAAAAAAAGAAAGCAATGAACGTAACATCCTGTTTGACACTACAGTGTTGACATGTTACCCTATGAAGCGCTTTCTTCTATTTCTTTCATTTAAGCGGAAGGGAATGAACTTCACGGAACTTATGCAAATGACGAAATGAAATTAAAAAAAGCCCTCTCATTTTTTTTACTCTTGTCCTCCATATACCAACGCGTGGCCCCCCGCTCAGCTCATACTTTTGACAAAATGTTAGAAGCGTGTTCCGCTCTCAGCTGATAAGAGGCCTAGCTGGCGAACATGGTTAGTTTATTCTACAAAAGTTAGTTTATTCTATTTCTCTCCCCATTTTTAATTAACATTTCATTTAGGAGTTTTACAAGTGCTATAAGGGTACTATTCTTGAGAAAATGCAGAAACGTAAATTTGCATTTTTCTTGAACTTTTGCGGTTCGTGCTCTTCTACTGCCTCAGTATTGGATTGGGGTGATACGAAACCACCCATGGAAAGTGATGAATGTCTGCTAATTTTCAAAAATGCAATAATGATAATGGAGGAAAAGCGAAGGTAGAGTTTAAAATTGCCAATAAGACGGTGCTGGAAGGGACGAGCTAACCAAAGAAGAATAAATGAATAGCTAAATGTAAATTGGCGACCTGTTTTTTGAGTTTGTGAGCCATATGATAAACAACTTATTAACTTCGACCGTTCGAGCGTTACGGGAAATATCAAACCTTGGCCTGAAAATTTCAAATAAAAAATCACCAAACGCTGCCTAGGAGTCGGAACTACACAAAGACATCAAGAAATTCACGACCAGGAGACTGGCTTATTTCCATATCATGTCTTCCATATCACGTCTCGAATGAGAAATGACAGTCAGGAAAGTAGGTCATACTAACAAAAAGCATTTGTTCTAGTTTGCTAATCGAGACAGTACACCAGCATTTTCGCATCTGTTAATACTTTTAGGGAGGGAAAGCCAGTGGTTTAAATCCTCTCAACAAAGTTCCTATTCATGTAGCGACGTACTTTTGCGACAGCCCGGGGATTATCTTTATCAAGTTTAACCACAAACGTAAATACTAAAATGTATAGGTATCATCATCACGTCTTTAACTTGTTTAAGAAGAGCATGTGGAGACTAAGACACTGACCTGTGAGGGATATTCGTCCCAAGCAGAAAACAAGACTTCCTGCTTCGTAAAATATGACAAATTATTTATTTATTTAAGTGCGTATCATTAATACATGGTATTCACTATCAGATCAGTACCAGTTGAAAGCTTAAGGTCTCCGATAATTAATGTCACAGTAAATTGTATTGAAAATCGCGATATATTTTCACGTTTTGTTACGAAAAGAAGTCTGGAGATAATTCACTGTCCACAAACAATTCAGTTACGAAAAGAAGTCTATAGATAATTCACTGTCCACAAACACTTCAGTTGTTTGTGTGCTCACTGAAACGAACAGGGGTATTAGTCCGTAAAATAATGTTGTATTGCGAGTGCCAACAGGTGAAAAATGCATATTTACATTTTGTACAGATGGAATAGACAATTGAGAAAAGTTTCAATGTTTTGTTTTTAATAGATAAAAATGTGTAAGATATGCTTGAAGTCTAGTGGAGAAACTTTCTGGCTACTCTTCAGCTATGGTTAGTTTATTTGTATCCTAGTCTGAAGCCAGGCCTCGACTAAGCTGAGAATTTTTAAAAACTATCTTTGTACCAAGATAAAATATATCCACAGGAAGCACTATATTTTAAGCTACAGAATCTACGGGTTTAATTAGTTCACCACTAGCTGAACCAACATTCACCAAACGACTTTCAAACCTAACTGGTGGTTCGTGTAAATATTTGCTTTCTTACTTTCTTGGATCATTTACAAAATTTCTCCACGAACTTGAAATCGCTCTCCCAGTCGATTAGAGAAAGTTAACAAAACCATGGTCAGAATTTTAACAAAACGTTAGTTAACTGATTCTCAGAAGTCCATCCAGCATCTCGATTGCGCTGTTCTGGTATAATACAATAGCTTCCACATCGATCACAAACCATTCTTGAGCAGAACTCCCAAAAGCGATTACGAAACATCGTATTTCACCTAAGGAGTCGACGACACAGTTAAAAGACAAGGCATAAGACTTAGTCCTAAAATGAGAGGTAAGCCAACGATGATAATGTGAACGATAAAACCCTTCTCTAAATCTTTTTCTTACTTTACATTTTTTTTAAATGGAACATATATAGTCCCCTCAACCAATTGTTGTGATAGTAATAAACCAGGTATATAAACCTTCAGTGAAACACCATTGTTCTTGGAAGGTGGATAACGTAGCAGATAATGCTAGAAATGTTAATATTAATACACACGCAGCAAGGAACGTTATCTTCTTAACATGTTTGGGTTCCTCTCTCCTTCCGATAACTTTTTCCGTTTTGATAACGAGGAACCAAAGGCAAGAAGTCATAAGTTCTCCTGCCGTTTTAGAGGTCACCATGCACAAAGGAATACCAAGAATGCAGATGATGATGGTAATTACTTGCCTAAGATGTTTCTTAGGTGTTATATTTCCATACGCTACGTAAAATCAAGCAACTAGAGTCAAATCAATTACGTAAAATAGAAACAAATAAATAAATAGAAATTGAAAAGAAGATAGCGAGAAAAATCACACATCAAGTTATCTGGGGTTTATCTTATTCATTTTCGTTGTTATATTTTTCGTTTGTTTGTTTTATAATCTTTTTGTAATTCTGCGTTATGTGTTGGCCTTTTCGTTAGTTCTCTTGTTATCCTGTTTCTCTATTGATAGAGGATATCATGTTATTTACGTTGATTTCTATTCTTTCCGAGTGAGATACGATAAGGTTTAAACTTGGATATAGTATGGTAATAGTCCACATGATTATTAAAATGGATGTAGCTCTAAAGCATTTTTTTTTTACCAAAAAGTCAAGTAATGATACCCAAGAGAACTGTTTTTTTTTCAAAAGTTCTCTTAATAATGTGCTCGTGGGAGCATAATTAACAACAAGTAAAGCTGGAAATACTAATGAGACCTAGAATAGGTAAACAAAACCTTACAAGCTAAAGAGGTTTATTTGTAATCCAAGTTCTCCTTTCCTTTTTAAACTGAGCCGCCTACTTCCATAGAGTCGTAATCATGTCATTTTCTATCGTTGCATAATTACCTATTGTCGATATAGCTGTAGCCACGAACATAAAGCTGTTTGGGAAAGTCCAGTCCTTTTTCTCCCCAACCGTCAGGGCTTCTTTGGCTCTTCTTGAAAAATTCATGAACTCATATTCATGTCGTGTTGTATTTACTCTGCATGTCTGTCCTCAGGTCCTTCAACATCCTCTCCTTTTTGTCATGGGCTGATTCATCTTGCTGCTCGATAACCCAACCAGCGGCAAGTATAAAGCCATAATAAAGTGATATTTTTTTTGTTTTATGTGTTCTTGACGAAGCTTAAAATTGTCCTCCCTCTCTTATATTCAGTTTATTTCTTTTTTCTAAGGCGGCCAGGTCATTAGACGATCAATTTTCACAATCAAAATGTGATAGATATTCCAGCCTCTGGCATCTATGTTAACTGCGCACAGATCAGAGACTTTTCTAACAATCCATCCATCCATTTATGGTTGTACCGCAAGTTAATTTTTCGTGGGTTACCAAATTTCCATCAACCAACTAATTTTAACATTGCGCCGTTTAAGGGCGAAACTTTCAAGAAATACCGTTTTTACATTAAGGCTTACTTTTTTATTATTTGTCGGATGATGAATAACTAATTGCAGATTGTCACCTACACGTGGTCAATGTGTTTACACCTGCTCATTTCTTAGTTAACGTAAACCTAATTGAAAATTCTTAGTCATTTTAAAACGTATTTTGCGCAGGCAAAATCTCTGTAAAATTCTCTTAATAGGAGACATCCGAGAAAAAACAAATATATTTTGCACGTGTAAATGCAAACGCTGTAATCCCTCTTTGATATTTTTGTTGTTGTGTGTATTTATTTTTATTTTGTGTGTAGGGCTTTGTTATTATAATATATAATTATGTAGATTAATGGGTCCATTTTTCATTAATATTGCACTCTTCTTCATTTTGTATAGTTTTATTGTTGTTTTTTTTCCGACCTGCTTTTTTAATCTATTGTGCTGATATAGAAGGCTTACAAGAGCCATCAGTTTAGTTTAAGAAAAGGAATGATTAAAGAAACAAAAAGAAACTTAATTTCACTGTTCAGTAGATGTTTCCTTTACAATTAATCCGGGTATTGCCAGACTCGAGTCTCTCAATCAGATTTTACAGTCGTACCTGGTTACTGTGTTTTTACACCAGCTACAAAATTCTGTCTTCATCACTTAATGGGAAAATTATTAATAGCTCGGTAACACACTAGCTGTAGCAGGCGGGTAATATGGTTCCACCATAAGAACCGTCAACAGCTGCATATGTATCGAAGATGGATTTCTATATTTCAACCAATACAGTAGATAATGGTGGCCGAGACAAAAATGAATATTAGAAAAAAATCTATGATAATTCATAGGCATAAGTCTTATGCGCTGTAAGCAGTTTGTTATTTAGCAGCTGCTACAGTACTTACCACTCACGGCTACACTTCATAAGGTAAAGATAAAGTTTATTTACGAGCTTAGTGGCCCATTAGGCCGGTGCTTAACTCCGGCTTCTGTAGCATGAAGCGACTGGGAGTATTTCTACTCCCCCCTGGATGAGATGCCAGTCCATCGCAATGTCTCTGTATATCTTAACAGGAGTATTCAAACTTCTAGTGTTCAAGACCTAGATGACTACTACATTTTGAAATCCATGATATCAATAAACTATTTTAGTCCTTAGACATGCATGGCAACTAACCTGTAATGGTCAACTGATAGTGTAGTACACTCTTGGCAACAAAGAGCATGAACCGTCGATTTGCTCCTTATCTATATATCTAAATATCTATATTTTATTTTACACCAAACTCTGAAACGAAACTCTCGCCAAAAATAGGAGTAGAAATATAAAATATGGGCTATTACAACCAATATCCTCGCTTCTGTTGCTGTATTTATTATTACTCAAGTCTGTCAAGGTGAATTTCTGTTAGCCATTGTTTCACACTACAACATAGCAATGCAAATCCAAAAGTGAGAGGGCCATTAGATTTTGATACTCGAAAGCAAAAAAGCATTTCTCTAAACAACCGTTTGAAAATTTTTAACGGATGAAGCTTTTCCCTTTTTTGTTTCTTTTTTTTTCCTTTTTTTTCTTTTTTTGGTGAGGGGGTGCCTAACTTTGAAATAGCAGGCACAAAGGCAAGTAAGATACGTAATATTACAGATTGAACTTTTTAAACCCCATACTGAGAAGCCACTAATAGTTGAATAAGAACTTTTAGGTGAGAGTTGACATTAGATAACTATTAACACTATTTTCCGGCCACCATAATTTGCTTCCCAGCTCCAAACCCATATTGAACTCCGTGTTTCTCTTTTAATCACGCCAATAAATTACGCATCAGAAGTTCTAATTTCAGTTTTCCTACACTGGGCAGTGATACGTACCCGCCAACACGTCAATGAATTAAGCAGTACTAAAGTTATTTTAAGTCAGTTATTTAAAATTTTGTATCTCTTGCTGAGTTTGCATCCCGTCTTTGATGATGAGCCCCTTTGATTTCCAAATCATTGGAAGAGAGCTTCTTAGTACCATCATCTTCCACTTGAGCAGACTGAGGGGAATTGTTGCAGCAAAGGCATTTGCTGTTGTCACGGTTAAGCTGGAAATCAGCCTTGTTAACAAATTCAACCACGGAATCGACAACCGCAGCCATGAAACACAATCCAGGGATAATCCAGCCGCTGGGTTGATATTCCATCATCGTTTTTGGTACAAAATCTCCGAATCCCACTGTAGTCAGGGTGATAAACCATACATACGCACCCTGCCTAATACTCCATCCGTCCTGTGCTTGTGATTCTGCTGCTACAGAGAACACAATGGTTGTAAGCACAAAGATATTACCCAACAGGACCTTCAGCTCAAGGTTTTGAATCTCATTTTGCCTTCTACAGAAACAGCTTTCGAGCTTTGTTATGAGGCATTTGACCAGCCTGTTATATCCCTCGCCAATGGACTTCAGCGTCAGAACCGTTAGAGGTATACCAAAAATGGCAAAGACAATGGTAATGATCTGTCCAGTAGAGGTTCTTGGCGTGATGTTTCCATAACCTGCCAAGTAAAAAAATTTTCTTTTTAAAGTTTTGTTAAAATGCTATAGCTAACTTACTCGCTGTTCTATTCCAGTGGACTCGACAGTGGCTTGTTAAAGTTACATGAAAAAGCGAAAAGGATAGTAACAATCTTACAGTAGTTCTCGACAAGTTGTCACCTTTACCTGTCACGTCAAAACGTCTCTTCGTTAAAAAACGCTCAGCACTTGTCGTACAGTGATATCCTCAACAAAAAGTGAGTAATTTCGATGACTATGAATGTTAATTCTGTCTTGTCAATCGGCCTTGATGCCAAGAAAATATTGAAATATAAACCAACCGAAAAAAAATTGGTTAAAACATAGTATCTAGAATGCATTTGCTCTAAATTAAACAAAGTACCTTTCCACAATAGCGAAAAAAGGTAAAGAAAGGGACTAGATGAAATATGATAATAATAAGTCAATGCTGGTATAGCGCATCGAAATATCAACGATGCTTGCAGGTGTAACTTTTGTTGTGGATATTCAACAAAATAGCGCCGCGACTAAGAAGTATTCAACCTCCATAAACGATAAGGCGATTTAAGAAACCATCGGCAATACATACCAATTGTAGTCAAAAGCTGCAGTGTAAAGCTGGTGGCATGTTTAAAGCTCCATTCCGGCAAATTTGCACATGCCTTTGTCTTCAATTTGTTGACGAGTATGTCAAATTCATCATCTGTCATATTGTACTTGTCTATCGCCATATTCTTCAAAATTTCCATTTCAACTGTATTTTTCTTGATCTCTTCTTTCGTCGCTTTGTCTTCTATCATCTTGAAGAGGAAAGCACCGCCGTAGAGAAAACCCCAAAACAAAGATAAGCGGATTAAAAGAATTTTGGTTTCTTTACTCACAAAGTTGGATACGCATAGAAAACCCATTTTCGTCACCCTTGGAATCGATACACACTTGCAAATTTAAAGAAAGGACGGCTACTTAATAAAACGTCGTCTTTAAAACCCTTAACACCACTCTGCGTAATGTATGAAGTCAATTACATTTCTTAAGTCCAATTAGGTAAAATTTGGAATTCATTCCTAGACACCTGCCCAAATATATTTGTAGAAACAAACTCTTCGCAAAGAAAATTCAAATTTTCTCAAAGATGTTTAAATTAGATTTTTGTAAGTGACTGGAGAGTAATAATAAACGGAACATATCTCAGTTCCTCTAGAAGATTCTTCACGAAGTTAGGTTTATTGCGTTCCCTTCATTTACATACAATCGTCGCAGCATGTGTAGCGGAGTTCCGCGAGTTTGAACTGTAGGAACTGGAAACTAGTTTAAGGCCTGGAAGGTAACCTCGGAGGCCTGACTACTTAGGAACTTACTGAAAAACTTGTTTTGAGTAAACGAAAAACTTTGAACAAAGGACAAATTCTTAGTGGAATTGTAAATTTAGAACTTAAATGTAAATGAGACTGCATCCTCGGCAATAGCATGATGACTCTTGACATTCTCCTTTAAACTGTCGATATATGGCTTTCAAGAAAGGTCGAGCATTTCTTTTTTTATCAAAATATACATTCATATTGATGAGAATCTCCAGGAAATTCTGTTTTCATTATACTTAAATACTGCTATCATCTTTAACAGAAAATCGTTACAAGGGAATTTGAAGCTTTCAGAACCCGAAACATCACGGCTGTCAAATTAAACTAATAATATACAGCAACCTCGTTCTACCTTGGCGATCTGATATTTGTGTTAAAAAAAGAAAGATTAACGTCGGTATATCAGAAGAAAAAAACAAAAGTTGAATGCATATGATCATGAAGGTTTTGATTGTACCAGTCAGAGACTCGTATGTTTTACTGATTGACAACACATATTTCACCTCCTTCCACGGCTGAGGCCATTAAAAATGTTAAATCGACAAACACTCATCTCACCCATAGTTGAGATTAGTAAATAATTGAATTACGGCAAGATTCATTCCGTGATTACTATGAGCTCTAAAGTGTCAACTGATGACAGTCACTTGATCAATATAAGTGTCGAACAATTTTTTTGGAAACTTTTCTAAATTGTTCCTGACCAATCTCTGTCGAACTACAATAATACTCTGTAAGATAGGTCGGCTGCATCAACTGGTTTGTGCTTTATTTTTTTCATTTATATATTTTCAATTCCAATCTTTAGATAATCGAGAACTTGCTTTTGCACCCATCATGTATTAATCTATGATTTTTTTACTTCTGCCTACACCTCACTACATGTACCACATGTTTCGAGTACACAGGTCCAACTTCGGTCTCCAGTAATCAAAGTACTTGCTATGGTATATTCAAACGGTAGAAAAAACACCACACTCCTACAAACCCAGACATTTTATTAAACAAAGATTAACCATTGATTAACCATTTTAACCATTGATTAACCATTTTATTAAACAAAGATTATCCATTGATTATCCATTGTAACCTAAACGTCCTAGGTTAATATTCCTACGAAACTACCCCTAACAATGATACAGCTCTAAAATCTTACTCAAGCCTACTACAGACCATAAGGTATTTTACCAGCGACACAAACTCGCATGTTGCCTTGAAATTTCCTTGAAATGAACAATCTTTGAATTATGTCAAAGTAATTCCCTCTTTCGGTCCTTTCCAGGCAGTCGTTCTTTGCTGACACCAGCATCTATTACCGCTAGATGACTGAGTTTTTATTTGAATTTAAAATGAATTGAAGAACGTCCCAGAAGCCTACAACAAAGCTATCCGGCGGAATTAATCATAATTATAAATGGTTCAGAAAATTCCATTGTATGATATCAAGTGTCCACGTCAACGTGACTAGGTATTCTAGAAAATCTAGGGAAATTACCTTTCTTCCTCACACATTTCCCTTAACATAATCATTTCCCTTAACATAATCTTAATCATACTTATACCTTCAGTTTAACGAATTAAAGAAGCTTAAACAGAAGCAGATCGTGCTCTTTTATTGCCCTCCTTTGACCATGCTTCCCTGTAGGTCCTCATAAGGACTTGTCCAGGGATCATTGCTTCTTTATCTCCGCAGCCTTTACAGGTCTTCTTTTTGTACTTAAATTTTTTGTAGCAAACTTTATACTGAATTCGGAATTCTTCGAGGGCTTCAACAAGCGAATTTAGTAGCCCAGAAACTACAGAGAGTGCCGCCAGACTAGGCAAAGTCAGCGAGTATAGAAGGAGCCAGAGGCCATTCAAAGAGTCTTCCTTTCCCTTAATCAGATTCCACATGGGAACGTAATCACCATACCCGATGGTAGAAAGTGTGGCGAACCATGCATAAAGGCCTTCTATAAATGTCCAGTCCTCCACATACTTTTGTGTGAGTCCACCAGCACATAATGTCAAAAACATAAGAACTGATGTCACTATAAAACTTTTTAATTTGATTCTTTTGGGTCTCTCTCTGGACAGCACTTTTTTCTCTACCACGAGAACGATCCTGTAAACGATCCTTGAGACTAGCTCCCCTAGCGTTTTCAGGGCGAGCAATGATATGGGAAGCCCAACAAGACAGTAAATTATTGTGAGAAATTGGCCGAGTGAAGTTTCTGGAGTGATATGGCCATAACCTGAAATCAAAGACAACAAGAGTTCAATACCCAGAACAGTGGGAAAATTTGAGGAACTAAGTACGTTTCTGCTCTTGCGTCTTGACATCATCTTACTATCAAGAGAAAATTTTTCTCTTTGGGTCGGCCAGCAGAACCAAATGATGTTATGATATACAGGACTTCAAGACTGCAGCTCGAAAAGAATGCAATATACTACGTTGCTTAAGGAGGCTGGATATAGTTTCTTCGGCGCGCGCAGACTGGGTTCTAATTTACCCAGGACTTTTAAAAGTTGCAAAAAAAAAAAAACACAAACAAACAAACATGGCCGCCGCGCTTAGGCCAGAATCATTATTTCATCTGCCTAGTAGACTATGTTTTACGCCTCTACGTAGGCTGCCTACACTTTCTTCTAACTTTATTAGTAAAGTGTTTCAAAAACGGAAAGCTGCAACACTCTCAAGTGACCAAAATACGCGTGAATTCGGCCGCAAACACGATCGCGATCGTCGGAGCTATTTTCCCATATCGTGGCTGGTTTCCGGAACACTAAATAGGCGCTACCTACATGCAATATCAACAGCTACGCTTCTCGTGTAAACAAGTCACTGTCAAAACTGTGAATGGTGAGAGAACTTTGCTCAAAGAGAATGTTCCAGTACGCTCCTGAGCGAATGTCTTCAATCTTTTATCACTTTCCTTTCCAGCAGTACGCATTGTCACACCGTTTAAATTGGCCATAATTCTTCTGTGTTCGACACTCCTACACTCCTACGATGTGCTGGAAATTCAAATAAAGAAACATTATCGTCGAAGAAAGTGTTTTTCGCCGATAGTCTTACACTCATCAGAACACCCGCTAAAGGCGGTAACGCTCTTCTCAATCCTGACGGAAAACCATGTAAAAGCAATCTCTTTTCTGCGTATCAAGCTGTTTTTTATGAAGATTTTAACGCACACGATGCTTTGGAAGATGTACGTGCCCTCCACTGTGTCCTCTTTCAATCCCCGTTGCATCTAACAAGCGCTGACATTGTAAAAGAACAGCATGTGAAATCCGCTTCCTTCGCTTTCGTAGACTTGGACTTTCTTGACAGACGCCACGAACGCATGTAAACTTTCAAATACAAGCTCTATTCACAGGGCGATAACGGGCTCCTCGTCAAAGAAAATATCATTCAGAAAATTGCAGAAAGCGGTCTGTGTTACGATGACTTAAAAGATCTTTACAACAACGGTGGGAAGGAAGCACTGGTCTCCACTCTTAGCAAATCGCCAACCACATCGCGTTGATCAGCTCCGAGAGGAACAAAAGATCCCCACACTTTGCACAAAATAATCCAGCACTTTGAAGGCAAATAGAGCAGCAGCCATTTCCAGGCGCAATCCACCCAGAAGGTGAACCTCTCTTAGCAAAATAAAGCTCTTTAGAAGAGCGCGAAGGACGTTCGGCGAAGAGGACGTCCAAAACCTTGTGGCGTCCGTGGCAAGTGTCGTGGCGTGACACAAATATTGCGCATGCGCAATTGCCCATCTTGTCGAGTCGAAATTTTCGGAAATTCGAAACTTTAGACTGACGTATTTCTGTTTCCGCTCGGCGAATTTTTTTTATTTTTTGCACGTTAACTTTGAACGGCTCTGTGCGTGTTTTACAAAAATTCGAAAAAATTCTGTCCGAGGGAAAATAAGTTAACGATGAATTCTAAAAAAGGCCTCTTTTCCTTAAACTTTCTGACAGAATTTTTTTAAACTTGACGGTCAAGCAGACCAAGAGAGTCAAAGGACGCATGCAAAATCTAAAATAAATTCACCGTCGACTTTTTAAGAAAATTCAAGTCAAGTCTAATTTTGGACCCAGCATTGCAAGCCAGTAACGTTGCCATGGCAACGAATTTTTCAATATATTTACAACAAACTCACTCTTCAATAATATCTTTATTTCAGGGGAAAATGTGATCGCGATTCGTTAAAGCTAAGCTTCGTGCTTTTAGTTTAAATATCTTGCATCAGAAAAGTGAAAAACTATATCCAGCCGCCTTAAGTGTAGCAAATAAGGAAAGTTTTTAAGATATGTTAAGCTCTGGGTAACACATGAGCTAAAACAAATTATTAGTCAAACTTAAAAATAAGCTGTGGGATTATCCAATAGTTAACGGTGTACACTTTTGATCTTTTGAACAGATAGAAACATTTACCTCCTTCCCCATCCCCACCTCCACTTGAAGTACAAGGGTGATAGGGTCTGGAAGGGTTCGTTTGAAAAAACTCGAAGGTACAAAGCCATCATGAAGTTGATTTGAATAATTTATTTATTCTCTGGTAAATAAGTCCACCAGTGCACCGAGATAAAGACCAGATGGGGAAGATATGTTGAAGATGGTGGAGCCATGCAAAGAAATGGAAATTTAAGTATGCGAAGAAAAAAGTTCAAGTTAGCATATAGCCAGTCACCTACCGATTGTCGTCAACGTTGTTATCGTGAAAGTCATTCCAGTGAAAATGCCCCAATCTGGTCTAGTTCCCACGTGAACAGCATCAAAAGCTTTCTGCACGAAGCGTTGGAAATCACTTTCGTTTATTGAGATGTTATATTTATTGGCGAATCCACGATGAAGTTCTTTCCATAGCCTTGAAGACAGATCTAGGTTTTTTTCAGGCTTTCCTTCAATGTAGTAAAATAAACAGCCCCCAAGGAAAGCGTAGACATAAAGAAGAGTTACTCTCCAGAGGCTTTTCTTGACAAGTTCCCTCATGTGTTTTGCTACTTGTAATGCTACCTGTTCGTAAAACGGTCTAGAATCACATTAAATGTATTTTGTTGCCAAGTTAATCCCACAATATTCGAACAACTTAGAAGACAAATATCAGAATGTAACCTTGTTTGAAACGTAAATAGAATGCGCACAAAAATGGACCCACTCAAAATAAAGAAGGTTCAGATACCAACTAATATAACATAGCGCGCGTGCTTGCTCTATCTAAGTCCTGTCGAGCCGCTAGGAAAAAAATCTTTATTTACGCACGCCCGTGCGTAAAATGAGATGACGTGAGCTTTTTTTTTTTACCTGGCTGCAGAGTTGCCGTCCAGTTAAGCTGCAGTGCAATTTTGATTCTCTTTAAAATATGGAAGAAACTAGCGAAGAAGTGCATAATTTTTCTATCGACATTGACCTTTTAAGTCCTGATCCAACAAGCAGCAAAAACAAAGCCGAAAAAAACTCGCAAGTTGTGCATTTTGCAAACTTGTCGGATCGTTGAGTTTTAAAATATTTTATTAATAGTGACACTTGATTTCATTGAGCTTTGATTTTCTTCATTTTTTCCGTTAATTTTGAGCTTTTCATTCACAGTTATCGATTAACTGGGTCAAATGCGCTAGCCCAAACCAAAATATATAAAATGTGGCGTGTTTTTGGCCAGCCAATAGGGAAGTTTGTTTACTTTTTTTTTGCGTTATGAGAGTTTTGCACTCTATCACAATAAAAAAAGCTTCTTCGCACAGATTCTTGTTGTCGCTCTATTATAAAGAGTTTGTTCACGCTTTTAACTGTGCGTATATCGAGTTATGAATGCACGCGGGAAGTTTGGAGAGCCCACAAAAAGCTAGAGTAGCTCTCGACTGCGCCTCGAGCTACTCTTGCGCATTTTTCGTCCTCTCCAAACTTACCGCGTGCATCCATAACTCGATATACGCACGCTAAGCATGAGCAAAATTATAAAATGTCAAGTCAACATATACCGTAATACTACTCGGACGCTCAAGACCTCCAAACTTTGCAACCGAAGGGTACTTTACCCATTAAAACCGACCTACTAAAAGCTAATATGCCCACCTGATATCTGCCACATTTATATATATATCAGTACCTTTTGCCAAGGACGTTTATCAGGAACAGATCATTTATTTCAACTTTATTTATCTGTGTTTTGAAATTCAATAGTGCTCACCGCAGTGCGTGAAAAGGACGAAGTTTAAGTGTAACTTAAGCTGCTCTAATTATTCAATAAATGGAATAGTCATAAACTTCACACCAACAACCAGAGGAAATATTATGACATTGGTCGTCTCATTATAATTAATGAGACGACCAATGCCCTAAAGGCCAACTGCGTTAATCGAGACTTGACTATGGTCGTGTAGTGTGGGAAAAATAAAACTCACAACTGTAGCTTATACATTTTCGTGATTTACACACACGCTACTAATTGTAATCAGTAATGAAGGGCTCTAATAAACAGAAAAACAAAACAAAGAAAATCTGGGCAAAATTTTAACAGTTATGTAAAGTGATTGCAAAATAATTGTTTTTCTTTGGTTAACCGACCACTATAGTACATGAAAGAAAAGATTACGAACTTTGTCCATTTTCGTGAAGTTGTGTTTGCACATTGCTACGGCAGCTGTGTTTATGCGCCACAGAGTGCCGCTAGAATAGATAAGCTGTCGATCGTGTTACGACTTCCCAAAGAAAAGTGTTTATCACAATATGCTTGAAAAAGTGTTTTCAAACTAAAATTTTCGTATACAAATTTTTCTAAGCTTTTAGTGGAACTATCAATCTTTAATTTAGTTTCCATAACAGAAACAAAATAAGTCGCTGGAAGGGATTTTCGCGATATAACAAGAAACCAATTTATTATTTCTAAACTGGCTTTAGCTAAAAAAAAAAACTCAGAAATTTTTGGAATAAGCCCATTTGATACATTTTGTTTGCCACGCGGTTAATCGGGGAAAAACTCACTTGGCTCACCTTATTATTCAACAGCCTGCTTAGATTCTGTTGCTGCATTGGATGGACAAACAGCGTCTGAGGACACGCTTTCAGCACATTAATGATGTCGGTATTATTCATGATAAGCCCAAATGTTTGTCTGTGTCTCAGTCACCGAAATTTATAAATTATTCATTATCACCAGCAGGTCAATCATTTGCATTGTGACAGGTTTGAGTTTGCCGCTTGATCACAGTTTGATGGCGAAGCTAGGAAAAGAATCTGGAGGTTGTAACGACGGATAACTCAAAGCCTTACGGATTACTTTGAAGAATAAAAAAGATCAATTTAATTCATACTTTATTATTTTTATCATTATTCCTGTTACTTTGGATATTTTTGTCTTTCAATTACCGAGAAATGTGGTAATTGCATCAGCAACAAAAACATTATCATGGTAAGGTCGGTGAAAAAAGATAAAATACTGATCCGGAAAACATCCTTTTTAAAGAAAGTGTATCAAAACTTGTCTTAAGACAGGGTTGGTCTATTAAACAGAAGCCGATCTTTCTCTTTCGCCACAAGCGTTCAAGGACTCAATTTTTCTATGATTTTCCTGTGTTACACCACCAGCATACTTTTTCGTCCTGCGTTTTCCTTTAGCTTTTTCATACTTTCTCCTTTTGCAAGTAGGACACCGAGAACAAACGTCACATTGGATTTTAAATTCATCATAAGCTTCAACAAGTGAATTAATCACGCCCGAGACTACACAGAGTGTCGCCATGCCGGGAAGAGATAGTGCAGTTATCAATATCCAAATGTCTGCTGCGGAGTCTTCAGCATTTTTCACAAATTTCCAACCAGGAACGTAATCGCCGTATCCAATAGTGGAGAGTGAAGCGAACCATGCATAGAAACCTTCTATGAAAGTCCAACCTTCCAGGTACTTCTGTGTTAAAGCACCGATACATAAGGTCAAAATCATCAGTGTGAAAGTTATGAAAAAAGTTTTTATCTTAACCTTTCGAGGTCTCATTCTACAAAGTATTTTTGTCTCCACCCGATAAACGATCTCATATACGATCTTGGCGATTAGTTCTCCCATTGACTTTAAGGCCAAAGTTGATAATGGCAGTCCCACGATGCAATAAAAGACAGTGAGAAGTTGACCAAGTTGTGTTTCAGGGGTTATGTGTCCATAACCTGGATGTAAAGAAAATGAAAAAGTAGATTTGATTGGAAGAAGTTGACGTCCACTTCGACTTTCTAGAACTGGTGGTTTCCAATCTTTACAGTTTCCTATTAAACTTTTGTCTGGATTAGGGGGCTCTAAGATTGTTTTTAAGAATATCTTATTATTATCATTATTATTATTATCCGACAGTTGTAAAACTTATGTTTGCCATAAGATCATACACAGACTGGGGACTGGGGCGATAAACGTGGCCCAGGCTGCGCGTAGGAATAGAATCTTCCTAAACTTTGAAAACGTAAATAAAGAAATAAAAATTAAATGATAAAATACACATATATATATATTAAAAACTTGATAATTGGATAATGCGATTCAAGACTTTTCATTAGCTTAGCCATTATGGTATATGAGCCAATATACCATAATCTACAAATATGGCAAGCGTACGCGTCAGCTTAAAATCAAAAGGGAGCTAAAAATCCGGTTTTTTCTTACAAAATAATAATTTCTTGGGAGAGTTTTAATAAAACCATTATTCCACTCGCGCTTGTTGGATATGAGATGATTATAGCCAACTCGGCGCTACGCGCCTCGTTGGCTATCTAACATCTCATATCCAGCGCGCGCTCGTGGAATAATTGTTAAATATCTAATAATCTGATAAATACAAGAAACTTAGGTACGAAAAATCTCTAAAAGTTTTATAAGTGAGCTCCTTAGCTATCTAGTGATAACTTTAAAAGTTCTTGAAATGTTCAAGGTGTTCGAAAGGACAGCTTTCTGCATTTTTCTTAGGATCCCCTCTCCCCAGGCCTCCGAATAGCTCTATCATAGACACGTCCACATCTCTCGACCATCCGCCCAGGACATCAATGATGATATTATGTTGTTTGATGGTGTATCCTGGATACTGCTGAGCCATCTCCCACCTCAAAGGACCATACTTTGCAGTCTTCTCCTCGATCTTCGTCAGCCGGTTGTCCATCCACGGGCACGACATCTCCACAGCTATCACCTCTTTCTTCTTGACGTCAATGAAGCGCGCAGTACTTGTTTTGCGCGAGAGCCGGGCAGCCGGCCAGCACCTGGGGAAGACTCTCGGGTGCTTTGTTACACATCCTTATTATTATTATTATTATTATTACTATTATTATTATTATTATTATGATAGCCATTACATCTGACACTGACATTATATCGGAAAGTGCGCAAGCCAGAATTTAAGTAGTCAATTTTTTATTATGTAGCTTAGTTTACTGAATTTTCTCCTTTTTTTTTTTAGAGAACTGCTTTTTGTGAAATATTTTTAAAGAAAAATTTATTATTATTATCAAGGACGTCGATCGTGTATCGTCAATTTATTTGCTGTTCTGCTGAATGAAGCTGAGGAAAAATAATGCAGACATAAGATGAATTCTGCTACTCTGTAGAACATTTGTTAATACCGAAGAGATTCAAGACTTTTCTCTCAGCTAGAGACTTTTTAAACTTGTTTTAATATTTATATCTTAATTTGTCTTAATTTTGTTTGTAATCCTGTATTTTTACTGATTTTGTGAAAATTATTATTATTATTATCGTTATTATTATTATTATAACTATTATTATTATTATTATATCCTTAAAGAAATAAAAAATATTTATCTAACATCTTGGTTGATGCGCTCGCCTCCGGGTCGAGTGGTCCGGGTTCGAGCCCTGGCTAGGGACATTGTGTTGTGTTTTTAGGCAAGACACTTTACTCTCACTATGCCTCTCTTCACCCACGCAAATAAATGGATAACTGCGAATTTAATGCTGGATGTAACCCTGCGATGGACTGGCATTCCATTCAGGAGGGAATAGAAATACTCCTAATCGCTTCATGCTACGGAAACCGGAGTTTAGCGCCGGCCCGATGGGCCATTTGGCTAGTAAACAGGCTTTGCCATATCTAACATGTAGAGTCTTTGCTTGTCTATCTTTGCGGAGGCTTTGTTTATTACATTTTGAAAATTAAATATATCAGGTACACGTGACTACTTAAGTTTGGAGCGACAAATGTAAAAATCACTTGTTATTACCCAAGCCGTTAAAGCCAGTAAATTAAAGGGTATCTTATAACAAAACATAAGTTTGTCTCATATTCTTATTTTGCGCCTAATTTTTTTATAATCTGACAGCAATCCTATTCACAAACAAATAGACCTCACATAGGAGAAACTTTTCGCCTTATCTACTTTTGGTTTGCAGAATTAATACCTTCATGTGACACATGCGTCATTCCTTGTACTAGTGGTTGCCATGGCTACTGCTTCGCACAATTTACATAGCTGCAGACGGTCTTGTTCTTATTACTAACAGAGCCCGCTGCTTGCGAGACAATCTCGTTGCTTTTTATCGCATCTCAGCTGCTAACCTTGGCTAACCTTTGCTAACCTTGGCTAACCTTGGCTATTTTTAATTTTGACCGCAGCATCTTCTACAGCCGCTATGACTACTAATTGATATCTTCATTACGTCACTTACCAATTGTGGTTAATGAAGTCATCGCAAATGAAGCACCGGTTAAAATTCCCCAGTCTGCTTTGTTGCCGTTTCTTACAATCTCGAAAGCTGTCTGCATAAAGCGTTCTAAATCACTCTCGTTCACCGATATATTAAATCTATTCGTGAAGTTACGTTGGAGCTCGTGGGCGAGTCTCGAGTAAGCTATCCTGTTTTTTTCAGGCTTGTATTCAATGACATAGAATATACATCCTCCAATGAAAGCGTAGACGTATAGAAAAGTAGTTCTACGAAGACTCGTCTTAACAAGCTCTTCCATCAGACTGTTTTAAACGTTTTTCGCTGAGGTAGAACAAAAGAAAAACAATACCAATGACTAGGTTCAACTCATTAATTATTTTGTAGTTGTTGATGAGCGCTATGGCATGTTTAAGAATAGTGCAATTTCGGTTACTCGATCACGGGTAAAGTATTCATGTAGGCAAACTGAAGGATAAGAAAAGGAAACTGAAATCAAAACCCAATGCTTTTTACTGTGTCCCTCCAACTTTTCCCATTTGTCTTCCACCAATTTTAGCCTTTTAATAACGGGAACAACCCAGAAATACATTAGACAGAAGATTTTTTTTTTCGATTGGGCCCACCTGAGGCACACGAAGAGTATAACCTGCTTTGGAGAAGAAACTGAAGGAATGGATGAATTGAAGTCAATCCCTTATAACGTATTCCATAATCGTAGCAAAATGCATTAACGAATAACCTTTATCGTTCTTCTCCTAAAAGATATCCCTTCCTGTCATACAAAGAAGACTCTTCAAACTTCTCTTTACCATAGTTTTTTTCCCTTTCCAAAAAAGAGACCAAAACTAGAAAATAGACACCAATATTAACTTTCACGATCGATATTGAATTTAGTGAGATTTACCTTTTGCTGTGAAACTGTCTGAGCAACTTCACTGTTACTCCGTTGTCTACATCAGTCAGACGTAGTTTTGGACTATATCTTGCTATCAAACACAATACATACACATGGCGAACAGACGACCAGTTGAGCAAGAATTAGGACTTCCTTTGAATGTGGCAAATATTAAATCGGTGATCCCGGACCACCACGAAAAACGAAACACAGAATTCCGCAAATACGGTCGTCAGGAAAAGTTACCTGTATCTGTGTCGAGAAGAACGATCCAGGTGACTTGTGGTTTGCTTGTGTTGGGGTTTGTTTTAAGTCAATGCCTCCATGCCAATCAGATAATCGAAGTGGACCTTGAGTCTTCGTTTCTATGTTTTGATTGTCTCGATTCACTGTAAGTAGACCATTCGAGGCCTATCAAATGCGGCTTATGATCGAGCTACCCCGGTTATTTTGGCAATTTTTTTCCTGTTTTCTAAATGGGAAATATCCATCTTATATGCAGACCAAGCCGACCAATTATTAAGTTCATTTTTCAGCTTGGATGACGTTGATATAGAGACGGGAGTAAGACGGTGCCGTAAATTTTTCCCCGCAGGGATCGCGATCATATAAACCCATTTCATTATATTTTATATTTTAATTGTGGGAAATCGTAGCAAATGCTGTTAGAAAGTGCTCAATACACATGAGTGTAGAGCGAAATACAGTTCAAATTGAACTGTATTTTCTATTTCATATTCTTTAAAAAGGAATTATATATTAGCAGTTAGTTGCGTACATCGTGCTATCCCGAACTGACCCACATGCACAGGTCCTGAGTCACTCGAGCGCCCTTTTGATTCCAAAAGCACTGATATGTCTTCTCCAGTCTCTCACTGACTGACTCTCACAAACAGAAAACAAGCTGTTATTACAGAGGTAGGAAGATAAGATCCCAGTAAAAGTACGTTTCCGTTTGTTCTACGATTAATGAAAAGCTTGTTAACAGCTGTGATAGAGCCGGGATACCGCCATCATCATTTGATTAACAGTGCCTCTGTTTTTGCCTCTGTTTTTGCCTCTGTTTTTCCACCTGCCGTGGAAAACCTCAAACATTTCCTTCGACGAATATTATTACGAAAAACATTGGCCTTTAGCTATCATGCTAATGCGTAACTCCGTTTATGTCCAATTAACAGTAGCCTGATCTTAAACCAAATCAATTATTCCTTGGGTTATAGTCACTAATGAGCGAAGAAAACGATTTTCGCGTAACTTTAACCTTATATCTGTACCATGGTTACAGCTTTCGTTTGAAATTTGAAATGAATATTTGGCAGTGTAACTACTGCTAAATACGAATTAGAGACTGTTAAGAAAAAAACGGAAAGTCTCAACAACACTTGCTCAATCAAAAATCGCCGGTCCTTTCAGTTGCTTCATGCGCAATAGAAAGACCCATCACCTGAAAGGCAATAAATGAAGAACATTTTCTATAATGAGTCACTTCTCGACGAATACATACCAGAATTTTAAATCAGCATTAATCCAGAAACCACTTGCTTAGTCCTCAAGCGAATTTTGGAAGTTACTCCATTGTACTTCTTCTCGAATATGTGCAACGACCTGTCGCCCAAATTACTTCGTGTCACGCTATCAAAGATTATATTCGCGAAGAGCTGATAATATTCACGAATCGCTCAAACATTATTTGAATTTGATGCAGCAGTTAAATTATTCATCGGAGCCACTAATTTTATTTTCATTGTCAATGCTTTTTGTTTATCTATCATTTTTTCACGTATTTGTATACGTTATGATAGAATTCCGAACCAAACTTACAAACTGCGAGCCTATTTTACTTGGCTACTTGTCTTAGGTTATTCTCATTTTGTTTTTCGCCTTAATTTATTTTTCTTTCATAAGGTTATTACTCTTTCAAAATTCCTTGTCAAAGTTTTGTCAAATAGCTCATACGACACTTTGAAACCGCCACTTTTATTCTCATTTGCATTTTCACTGGTTTGTGATATCTATATCCGTAGATCTTTGTGTTTTCTACAATGGGGAAGCTTTATTTATCATCTTTAGAAATTCACTCAGGTAAATGACATTCCTACACTGACATATAAAAACTTTGGGTTTTGTCATTTGCAAATGGCTCATTAATATTTTCATTTCCTAAATCTCCTTCAGGATAGGTGCAAATCGTAGATTAATCTCCTATTCACCGCGCACGCAAGTTGTTGGTCGCATCTAGGACTCTTCCCAGTGAGGTGGCACTCAAATTTCCCACTTCATCTATTATGAACAGTAAATGATGTGTAGGCTTTCTTCCCGATAAAATGTCGTTTATTTTAAAACTGGTTTTAGCTTTTAACTCCGATTTCTTTTCTCCCTTCTTTTGAGAGGAGATTCCAAAGTCTGATGGGTTAGAGCTTCAATGAGTTTTGGAGGATATAGTGCTGATATGCTTCACAAAGGTAAGGTTATTCTGAGTTTCCAAAGTTCCTGGTGACTGGTTATTCAGCGCTGTGTTTATAACACTGTAAATCGTAGATTAATCTCCAATTCGCCGCAAACAAACTACTAGGCTTACCCACGTGCCAAGGGACCGTCACTGCAATTAGAATCGAATTCAACCATTCCGTCACTTATCCATTCATTTGTATATTCAATCGACGATGCTGAAGGCGTGTTTCCGAAAGATATTTCCAATACAAACGGTGTTAAAAATCTGCCTTCGAAACCGATGAAAATGTGATAAAAGAGTGAGATTAATTTTTCTTTTGGCCAATGCCAACTGTGAGGAGGTGGAAGACCACGTAGCTAACCTTGATATTTATCATAATGTCCAAGGCCTGTATGATAAAGACATATGCGTTATTGACCGTGCGTGAGTGCAAGATGGCTAGATATAATGGCCGAGCTCCTTTTTTTTTTTTTGCTTTTCTTGACCGAGACGAAGTCAAGGTCCAAACATGCTTGGCCAATAAAGGATTTATTATATTATTGAAAATATTTCGCTCTATTATGAATCAAGGGTGACTTGTTCATTCTGAGGGCCAGGAGAAAAAGCCAGGCCAACTGTGCTTGTAGCACTAGAAAACCACGAGCGTCGTTTATACTTTCTTTGTTTTAACCCTCTTCTGCTTCTTTTTACGGCTCTCCCGTTACCGACTTTTTTCCAAGAGTAACAAACTTTGTAAAGAATAAGAAAGATGGTAAGTTCTTGAGATCGGTGAAGAAATAGAGAAAGATGTTTTCTGTCTTGTCACGAGCGTTGGACAAAGAAAAACTTCGAGTCCCATGAGGAATCGAACCTCAGACCTTTGTGACGCAGACAGAAAACATCTTTCTACAATAATAAACTTTGTAAGTTCACTCCACGTAAAGGTTTTTTTTTGCTCTGGAAAAAGTGGGCAACCCCGAGTGGGCAAAATGGGCCCGTCTTGCCCACTCAAATAGCCAATCAGAACGCAGGATTCCCTTCGTATCGCCCACGGACACTATCAGTGATATAATAAATGTTATCCATGATATTTGATCTATCAAATCTCACTTTGTGTTCACTTGTGAGAAATGGATTGCTCCCAATTAAATGAACAGTGAGGATCTGGATTTTAAGATTCCTCAGTCATTTAATAGCCTGTCTGCTTTTTAGGGAATTTGTTATCTCACGTACTGAAACGTAACTCCCGTATACGTAACCAATTTCATTTTATTACAGCTAAGTAAACATGCTCAAAATGTTGCTGACCGCTCTCTTCTGTTACTGATTGTTTCGTTGATACATGTCCTTCCAATTCCAATTTTTCTTTCATGATGCCCAAGAAAAAGATTACGAGCGTTCGATTTGATTTTCAACTCATCAACGGTTTCAGCGAGGGCGTTTAGTAGACCAGCAACCGCACACAGAGCTGCCATGCTTGGGAGTGCTGAAATAAACATAATCAAGCCAAGGCCCAACTTGGATTTTGGATTTGAAGATTCTTCAGCTTGTAAAAGCAAACTCCATCGGGGAACGTAGTCACCGTAGCCTACAGTGGATAGTGTGGCGAACCATGCGTAGAACCCTTCTACAAAAGTCCAACCTTCAAGGTAGATCCCTTCCAATCCACCGAGACAAATGGTCAGAATCACGAGAGCAAATGTTACAAAAACACTCTTCATCTTAACGTTTCCAGGTCGTTTCCTGCAAAGCAACTTTGCCTCGATTGCGTATATTAAGTGATTAACCAGTTTGGAAACCATTTCTCCCATTGTTTTCAGAACCAGCATCGTCAGAGGAATACCAAGAAAGCTGTATACCACCGTTGCGATTTGTCCAAGTGGAGTCTCTGGTGTAATGTGACCATAACCTGAAAGATTCAAAGTGCTTGAAATGGTCTTTTATTTCAAGTTATCGTTAGGCTCTTTGATCGCATTCCAATATCAATGAGTTGAGAGACTGTTGAATCAAAATATGTGCGTAAAAAAAAAATAATAATAATATCAAGTTTGCACGGGCAGGGTGTTCTCTGTGCGGATTAACTTGAAGCAATGCTTCCGACGAAATCCAAAGTCGGCTAGATTACCTCTAAGATTTTAAAAGCTTGTACAACTTAGTAAGTAGTGCATTATTTATTATACCAAATACGTATTTCGATCTCTCGACTGTATTTTGAAACCGACGAGGAGAGTCCTTTGCGCGAACCAGGCTTCTAGAAGTTTCATAATTCATTATTACTCCATACCGACTATGTTGAACTATTGAGAGTGAATATGTGAGTGGACTGAGTGAAAATCAAAAAATGTGGCACAGGGTCGAAAAAAAAATTTTTTTTCCAGACTTACTCCTAAATTCTTGAAAATTCTCGAAAGCTGTATCGAGCGTCGGTAGCCGTAGAATGGCAGAAATCAGTGCCTCGAGTGGAGACGACTATTTTTCTTTGTATATATATTTCAATTACTTTGTTCTTTGCCTCGGTTCATCTTTACTCTGACTTTTGATCCTCGCCATAATATTTTCTCTTTATTATTTTTTCCTCTCTTTCCTTTCCTGTTCTATTTGTTTTTTTTGTTTAATGCGGGCTCTCCTATGTAATTTCCCCATCACATTCAACTCTACATGAGATCCCCGCTGCGAAGTTAACAAGTTCAACAGCGAGGACTAACTTATAAGGAAAATTGTCATATGAAAAAGTTTGCTAAAAGCTTTATTCACCGATATTCGTGGCCGTAAAAATACAACATGGGAACAAGATTTATATAATATCAGCCTCTCGTTACAAATTCTTGAGTGTGTTACATCTACACTAGAATCAGATTGCTTCCCGTCTTCAACGCCTTCGGCCAAGAACATTTGACCAAACGGTATAAATGATTGAACTGTCCTCTTTCAAGGCCACAATGAAGCTCAATTTCACCGAGGAACTTTCTTAAAACTTAAATTTGTTCGAATATGCAAAGAAAAACAGACGCCCTCCGCTAGCTTACGGACTCTGCTATTGTAAGCAATTTCGCCGTGGAAACGGATGAAAATTTGAAACGAAAGCAGGGATCAAAACCAATCCGCCATTATTAGCAATGTAATGGTAGCTTACTGTTTTAACTTCCTGAGCGAACACGCCGCTAATTGGTAAAATGTGCGAGGAATTCCGGATTAAACCATGAGATGCCTAATTAGATTATTTCGCGACGTAAAGTTCAGGCGCCTGGTTTTTACCGTGAGGAAATGAAAAACTCCAAACTAGTTTTAATATTCTCGAAAACAACACCATCTCCGCTTAACATAAACTTAAGGTATCAGAGAACGAAAAAAGTTATACTTTTCAATTTCCTGAAAATATAATATAAAAAAAAAGATCTATCAACTTCGTAAGATTTTCATTTATTATCTTTTTTACTTCAGGAGATATAAAGCAAAACGTAATTCAAGTATTGCTTGCAAGCTGTTATTATGTCCAAAACCGAGAAGTCCCTTTTGCCGCTCCGGAAAAAGGAAAATTTCTTCGCAGTTTGCATCGAAGCGGAAAGACTTTTCACCGATAGGGGTTCCAACTAGACTTAATAGATTAAGTGGCCACAGTCTATTTCTATCGAAGTTGCTGTGGGCGCTAGTTCGCGATTAATATCGCTGACGGTCCACCGTAGTTCGCGTGGCATTGCACTTCGCGATCGAGCATCGATCGTTGAAGAGTTGTGTTGTGTTCCCGTGTTCCCATATAGCTCACTCTTCTCTACCTGACCTCTTTCCTCCTATTTTTTCTGGCTGAAGCACCTTCTGTGTCGACACAAAAAGCTTAAAATCCACGCGTGTTACACTTAACCCGCTCGACCTAACTCCTTATAACTTGGTGTTCATTCTTTGCTTTCTTGCACGCATCAGCGCCGTAAGGCAAAAGAGTGTCAAATGGCTTCAATATGATTGGATAACATCCCTCACAGGCGTGAAGTGGAAACGCTTTTATGTAAAAAAACACCAACACCCCGAAAAATTGCAAGTCGCTTTTCCAAGGAAAGTGTTTTTGCTCAGTTGAGTTTTGACCTTTGAACAGTTTATTCTCGGTTGATATTCAGTCAATTTTCGTGAAATTTGGAGATAATGTCGGAAATATAATGAACCCTAAACGGGTGTCCCGGATTTTTTATTTATACCTTATTCCTTGAGATAGCCTCCACATTGAAAACTTTGCTCAAAAGCGCCACTTTGAAGTTAAAAAAAATTATTAGAAAATAATGAGATGTTAAAATACAAATCTCAGACATCCATTTTAAGTTCCATATGTCCAGATCAAAAAGAGTGTCCCAGATGTTCCTTTTATTCCTTGTTTCTTGAGCTACAGCCTCTAGATTGAAGCTCTGCCCAAAAGCGCTACTTTGAAGTTAAAAAAAAAGGGATTAGAAAAATAATGAGACGTTTAAACACAAATCCCAGATGTCCATTTTTAGATCAATATGTCTGGATTCACCTTCCGATAAAAAAGAAACGTGTTGATTAAAATGTGTCGTCAAATAAACTAATCTTGTAAAACGTCTCAGTATGAAAGAATAAGCTCCCATTCTGTTTAGTGGCAAATATTATAAAATTAAATTAATTTTCCGAAATCAGCACTTTAAGAAAATGTATACTTTTAAAAGGATAGCGCGCAGAATTTTTAGGTTATCTCAGTTTGAATGAAAACGCTAATTTTCATTCTATGATACCTTAACCTGAACCAATTCTGAGTTAGTCGCATGGAGAAAATGATAATTAAAAAATTTGCTACGAAATGCAATATCTGGATTTTGAAATATTGGTGATTTTCAGAAGCGTCCCGTGTGCTCCGTTTTAGACTTACACCATACCTCAATCCCTCATATACATATTCATCAAAATGATACGAGCCTGCTTTCATTTGCGCTTTTCATGAACAAAGTTTATTTACCTCTTCTCGGGGCACTGATTTCCGCCATTTTACGGCTACTGAAGTTCGTTTCAATTTTGGTGAATTTTCTAGGATAAAGAAGCAAGTCTGTGAAAAAAGAAAACCTCACCACGTTTCTAAGCTCATTATAAGGCATCTTTGACGGAAATATGAGAATAATCATTATTCGATCGATGGGCCACCTCTCACGCGGTCTTGAAAAGAAAGAGTCGCTCTTAACTCTAAAATTTCCTGAATTTGTCACTTAAACAGTAAATCACACTTCTCTCGATTTAACGGCGTAAACTGAACCACGTGGGATGCTGGGAGTATACGGGAAAAATTTGTAAACCACAAGTCGCAACAGGGTTCGCAAAATTTTCGAGTGTTTTCCCAACATCCCAAGTACAGTATTCACGGCGGAAAAAAATACACCTTTCACATTAATATGTTTCATATGGTATATTTTAATATTCTCGTTAGTGTTAAGCCCTGAACAATCTCATTATTATAGGAAATATCATTCATTCGTCAACGCCAACGCTAAAAACAAACTCCACTTTAGCAGATTTATCCCCTATTTCGCGACAGGAGATCATTAAATAAATTTGATGAAAAAAGGATTTTTTTCCAAAATAATCGTTTTTTCTGTAAGTGATTTTTTATTATTTTATTTTTTTGTTTTATTTTGTTTTGTTTTTTTTACTTTTTGCTTGTTTTCTTTTATTCTATTTTCCAAAGCAAAGTAAGATTTGATTTTGATTATGATTTTTTTTATACTTTAATGTAGCGTATTGCCGTGTCTTGTAACATAATGGTACATATTGAAACGTAACGCTAAAAACACTAAAAACAAATTCCCCTTTAGCAGCTTTATCTCCTACTTCGCGAAAGACTATCATTAGATAAATTTGATGAAAAAGGGACTTTTTTTCCAAAATAATAAGTTGTTTTCTTGTAAGTGTTTTTTTGTTTTGATTTTTAACTTCTTGCTTGTTTTGTTTTCATTACTTTGCTAAAGCAATGCAAAGTAGGATTTGGTTTTGATTATGATTTTTGTTTATACTTTAATGTATCGTAATGCAATGTCTTGTAACATAATGGCACATATTGAAGCGTAAAACAACATAAAATAAAGAGAAAAAAATATCTATTCTGTCAGTAATGTTAGTATTGTAGGTACTGCTGTAAAGTTAATGTTGTAAGTAATTGTAACTATGTAAACAATTAAAAACGAGATTGAAAAAAAAAGAAGAAAATAGGGGTATTTTCAATCACAATTAAATGCGTTTTGAAGGGTTCACTGTAATTCATTCATTCCGTCAATTTCATCCCCAAGGCAGGTTTCATTCTTTATGGGCATGTCTAAAAGGAGGACCAAATCCGACAAGAAAATCTTCTGTACAATGTCTTTTGAGTGTATTCGCGTAATCAGATCAATGGCAAATATTGGTGGACGGCAAATGAGAAAGTTAGATGGAGGGACAGACTATGGAGCATGTGGTCTTGATTTGCTTGTTTTCTCTAGTATGAACTGCATATTCAACAAACAAACAAAAAAACTTAACAACGGCGCTCTTCAGTGTTCATCAGCTCCTGTTTTTAAACCCGATCAAACTGATTTCCATTATGGGGAAAAGATAATAACCTGTGTCTACCCAATGAGCCTATAACGTAAGCAAGATATTTACCAGAACTCAGTCAGCATGCTATCTCAGAAACAAATGTCACTTACCAACAGTCGCTAAAGTTGTCAGCGTAAAACTGAGTGAGCGAAGAAAGTTCCAATCTGCGTTACGTCTAACTCCGACTACTTCGAAAGCTCTATAGATGAACCTTTTAAAATCTTCCTCGTTCATGGAGACATTGAACTTGTTTGTAAAATTTGTTTGCAGCTCCCGAGAGAGTCTTAAATAAACATCTTTGCTGTCTTCGGGTATCTTTTCAATACAGTAGAATAGTCCTCCTCCGAATAAGGCATAGACAAAGAGCACGGATACTCTAAATAGGCTCTTCCTCAGAAGATTCTTCATTTTTCTCGACTCTTCTCGGGTTAGTGTTCTGGAATAAAATATAGTACAAATCATTGGAATACAGGCAGAAACAGTTATACCTTCTTGAATAGGCTCATGCCATTTTCAAGGATGCACGAAGACGTATTGATTCAGTTTCTAATTTCCAGTCAGAAAATTTAAAAAAGAAAAATCCTGTTTTAGCTTGTGGTAAGTTTTCATTTTCCACAGAGACTTATTTAAGTATATTTTTTTTTACAGAAAAATGCGACCAGACCAGAAACAAAACACAAAAATCAATAATAATGATAAAAAAGATTAAGAAATTGAAAAATAAGAAAGTTGTAAACAACCTATTCCGCTTCCTTCCAGGTATTATAGAACTTATGTCCTCTCAGATCGCTGAAAATGTCTCCCCTTCCCACATTATTGAGGGTTTTTAGAGGGTATGAAGGGAATGCAGATTATCACATAAAACTACTTTCTTCTTTCACTCAGTGGGCAGCTTATGTGCGTCACCAGTAAGTCAACACGGAAAAACAGGCGTGATCATTTCCAAAGTAATATCTAACTGTGAGTGACGTCATTAAGGGAAATTCGCAAACCTTGCTGATTGTAATTGGGACTCAACCGTCAAGGTTGATAATTAAGTTGCCTCTTGTATGATTCAGCGAAAATTAGAAAGAAAATGTGTCTTCACTGACGATAGAACTGATTATAGTGGTGCAAAGAAAATAGACCTTTTTGGCTATGTGGTAACGTGGTTTGAAATGGGTATACAAAAATATAAAATAATTTGAATACGTCAACAAAGTTGAAATGGTAAATTGGCCACCGTTACGAGTATAAAGGCTGACGTTTCGAGCGTTAGCCCTTCGTCGGAGCGAATAGAGGAATTGTGGGTTGTATGTGCTTTTAAAGGCAGAAAATGGAGCTGCGTTTCTGCCTCTGAAAGCACACACAGCCCACCATTCCTCTATTTGCTCCGACGAAGGGCTAACGCTCGAAACGTCAGCTTTTACAAACGTAACGGTGGCCAATTTACCATTTCAACTTTGTTGATATATTCAAATTATTTCGTTACCTCCACCGACGCAGCCCCAAACAGTTTCTTTAGAAACTATCAGCCTTTATTTAATAATTTAAAATGGCTGCTGGTGCCGCAGACAACATCTCATGGTAGACAAATATACTTCTCCTCCCCTCGAAATCTTCTCAGTCACGTATAAATCAGCATTCGAATGACTAGAGTAAAATAGAAATAGGCAACATTCGAGATAGAGTCTCAAACTGAGATTATAAACTAAACTTCAAGCTGGAAAAACAAACCTCCTGTGAACAGTCGATCTTTCATGATCGCAAAAATACATAAAACGGGCGTAGAAGGGAAGCAAATATATCACAAAATGAAAGTTTTGGCGATATTGTGGTCTAAATGAAGCTTTTTCGTGTTTCGCGATAATTTATAGGCTCTGGTTATCAGTGATCGGCAGTCGGTCAAGGTTCTCAAGCGACGGAAGACGAACAGTCGGATACTTTTCTAGAAACTTAACAAATTTCAGAGAACCTACACAGTCCAAACGAATGAAGAACTACTAAAATATAAGCGATCCCGCAGCGATTTAAAAGTCTCATGTCTAACGCTCGGTCATGTTTAACACAAGGCTTAGAGTACGGAGCCATGGATGTTGCAGATGTAGATAACTAGAAATCGGGTTAGATCGACTGCAAGTCACGGTTCTTAATTAAATAATTAAATGACCGGCAATCGGAAATTTTTCTTAAAATTTCAAACAAGGAGACAACTTATACAGTAGAAACCATCGAAGAAGACCTGCAAAGCGATCCCCAGGAGTTTTATAACTTTCATCGATAACGCTCAGTTTACGCTGGGTTAAATGGCCATGATTTCATTCCAACTTCAACTTGTACAGTACAGAGAAAGGGTATTATCACCCAGAGCACAACTAAATTGCTGCTTTGAAAGAGGTATATTGACGACGTTTTCTGTCTGTGGAACAGAACCAAAGACAAAATAGTACAGTTTGTAAGACGGGCAGACAGCTACATTCTTTCAAGAGATTCTATTATCTTGATTCTGTACATGTACCACGATACAATCACTATTCACAGTTAAAAACTCCAGACTCAGAAATTATATTCTCAAATACAAAAGTGTATGAAAGCGAGAGGTTTGACAGGAAATTAACCCTTCACGTCCAAACGCATTAATTGCAAAGAGACGAAGACCTTTCAATACTTGAGTTTTTATTCGTGTCATTCATCAGGCCCGAAGAAAGGATTCGTAAAAGGAGAAGCGCAACGGCTTCTATGATTAAATTCGTCACGCTACATGTTCAATAAAAACTCACAATGTTTCAAAATATGCATAAAGAATGTGGGTTTTTAAGATGAAATTTAAGAGAAATGTATCTCTGAATTTGTTGTTTCCCTACTCGGAACTAGTCAGCTCAGACGACCACCACAAACCGTATAATATTATCCAAACTTTAACGATTGTTCGATCTAAGAGAAATACATTTGTAATTCGAAGTCAGAAAACGTAAATTTAGTCTTAATCTCATGGCCAAATTCAAGAAAACATGACTGGAAACTTACTTCTGTGGCGGGTCGTAGAAACAGGTTTCTCACTTCAGGTTAGCAGATTCGGGTAAGCGAACAGATACAAAAATCGACTTCTCTCTCTTACTGATTCTTCTGAAAAACTGGTTTAAATCACGACAAGCTAACACTTTAAATCATTGTGAGGAATTAATGTCAATCACGAGTTGTGTTAATTAAATTATATCTGTCATCA